CATGTGGTGCAAAATGAATGTAGAAATTCAACTTCTAGCTGATTTATGAAGTTACGCACAAATTGGGGATGTTTTGTGAATTTTTAATTTCATTCGTTCATCTAAATTTACTCATGAGGTTTTTACAGTGGAAATTGTGATCTGAGTAGTGAAATTAAAAAGCAGAAAAGATGATTTTTACAGGGAAATCGTCGTTGGTGCTGAGATTTGTGAAAGGGCAATTCCACGAATACCAGGAATCGACAATTGGTGCCGCATTTCTTACGCAGACAGTTTGCCTTGATGATACCACCGTTAAATTCGAAATATGGGACACCGCCGGCCAGGAAAGGTTTTTCTACCGTCCTCTGCATTTCCTGATCCAGTGCTTGTATTTTAGCCGAACTGCGGGACTCTGGCATGAGAAATAACCGTAGTGAAGCAGCTGTTGTTGGCGTTCTCGGAAGAATGAAAGGGGAAATGTGTTGGGCGTGCTTTGAAACAAACAAGAATTTTTAAACATACAGCGTTTTCGAAAAACTATTTATCGAATGCTGTTGGATGCGGCACTGTGGCAAATACTGCTGCTACGGTGCTGAAGGTCCGGGGCTTGACCTCACCAGCGGGAAAACTTTCTTCGCTTCACTCATTCGTTTCGCCGGGTAAATTGGCCAGAGAATCGAAGCCTTCTTTTGTATGATCCTTAGAAGAGGAATCCTTCGAAAGTCTTGCTAGCGGGCGGTTGCTTTTGGTACTTACTACTACTCGGACCACTTCGCAGTGCCTTCATCTCTTGAAATAGTGGGTACGAAGGTGGTTTTGACTTTTGACTTTGTTTAGCGAATATAATTGACATCTTGGAAGACACAGATAAGTTGTGAAAAAACTTAAGCCGCTTTACGGATCGGGAAAAAGACAGATGTGTAAAAAGCAGAGTGTTACAAAATGCATCAATTCAAGCGTCAAAGATCTGCAACAGCTTCAGTGTATCAGTCTTCTTTTGTCCACTGTGCTGCTCGAAGTTTGGTGGAATAAAGTCCAATTACATAAAGAAATCGAATAGGTTGCAGCCTCCAGGTCAATCCTGGAGGGGCAGATGATGGGGTG